TTTTCTTTTTTCCTTCTGAACCTTCTAGACTATTGCCTTAATGTCCAATGTGAAGAACTTTACCAAAGCCAAAGGTCTGGCTTCTTAATCCTCCTGTCTACAACCAGGAATTGTTGGTATCGTTGATAGTGTAGTCATATTCATCATCATCACTCTCTTGTACCAAATGTTTTAGGTGTGCTAACTCTTCATCAGCCATCACTTCGACTGTTCCATCAGGTTTCCTTAGTATGCTTAGTGGAACCAACCCTTCGGTATACAACTTTGCTTCTGTGAAATCCGCATAAGCAATGAAGGGCTGTGGGCTTGCATTTATCTTCTCTGTCTCCACATTGCTCAAAACTATCATCACCTTCTGATATAAAGAGGAGGGCACACATTTGTTGGTGTGGATCCAATCTCTACCAAGCCAAGGATTATATTTGGCATTGTTGTCTATGGCAAAAAAGGCAGTCACACAATCTCTTATTCATACACTCAAATTAATGGGTAATATGCCTTGGGCCATCTGTTTGTCCCCAGCAAAATCAGCAATGGTTGTGCTTATTGGAATCAACCTGGGATTCATTTTCCCTAACTTTTTTAAAGATGAATGAGGAAGTAGATTTACTACTGCTCCATTATCCACTAGTACCCTGTTCATTTCTATCCCATCAAAGTATGCCTTAATGTATAAAGGCTTAACATATTGAGTCATTGATGATGTGGGATATTTGAAGAGGTATGATAAGGTGACTATGCTTACCTCTTTATTTTCTTCATCAGTCTCCATCGGCCTGGCAACTTCAGACTCATCTTGGACTATGCTGGCTTGTGAGTCTCTGTTGGAAACTTCTATGGGCTCATCCTCATACCCTTGCTGATTTTCTTCTTCCGCCTGAAATTCTTGAGGAGTACGTACACTATATTGATTGGCGTTGAGGAGAATGAACCTAACTGTACCACTGACTGTATCTGCTCCCCTTCTATGTTGGCTTGGCCAGATGCCTGGGATGCATCTTCCATACTAAATTCTGGAACTTCTAAGTTGATGGGCTCCTTAACAGCAGTCTGTTGTTGGTCTGTCTTGAATACAAACACTGGTTGTTCAGCCATGAAGGCTTCGAACACATCTTCTTTAGCCAATACTTGTTCCTGGCCTTGTTTAGTTCCTTCGTCTATCTTATCATCATCATTACTTTCCATTAAGGCCTTTTCGAGGCTCGCCAAACTTGACCTTTCTTTGGTTTTTAGTTCAGCATGAACCTTAACCAATTTCTCTCTGCTGGCACTTCTGTTGATCTTAGGAATAGGCTTTGAATCCTTTTCCACTTGACCTCTTGATTGCACCAAAGAGGTGCCCTCACTAGCTCCCTTAAGATCCCTTTGGTATTGAATGAACCTTCATTGGATTTTTCTCCTCTAAGATCAAGAGATAACACTGGTTCCTTTGTCTTTGAATTTTTGAGTAAAACCAAGTTGTTTGGGGCCATAAAAGGAGGCTTAATCATCCTATCCCTGCTTGCAAAAACCTTCCCTTGGGTTGGTATTATTTTAGGTTTATTTTGTATGACAAACCAATCTGGTACTCTTAGCGCCCATAAACTCACTAAGTCGACTATTGGGCCTGCTGCTTTTGTCTTCGAAGGTGAATCATTGGCCTTGATCCCCTATTTTGGGCCAAGCTCAGGCTTGTTTATAGTCTTGTTGGCCATTCTGTAGTAGTTTGGTGGCCTAGTCTCATACCAGGGTCTTTTGCCCTTCGATAGATTTCTGGCATTTGGTGTTTTAACTAAGGATGGTTACTGGGTAAGGTTCCTTAAGTACGCTCCCTTGTTGTAGGTATTGACTGGTCTATGGTCTCTTTGCAGATCATTGGAAGCCCTTTTAGCCATTTGTAACTCAGCCTGCACCTAGGGCACATTCGCTGGATGATAGCTGCTTCGAGGGATTCATCATCTAACATTTCTTCATTAAAGCCGTTTCCCTAGCCTTCGAAGCTTTTCCCACTGGTTGGGGAACGCTATATGTTCTTTTTCAAGGCAGCCTGGCTAGCTACATGCATTTGCATATTGACCTCATCCAATTCCTTCAAAGACATGCCCTTTTCCACATTTTGAACAAGGAAGTCTGGTATGCCAACATTGGTCGTTGCTTCTTTGATTTTTGGAAATGGATCAATGTCAATCCTCATTGCCTTCTTTGACTTGACTGGGAATTTCAATCTTCATTTCCAAATCTGCTCTTGAATCTTGTTTCGAAAAACAATGCAATTTTTACTTGAATGAGACCAAGAATTATGCCATTTACAGTACATTTTGCCTTTTATTTCTTCTGAAGTTGGGATCTTAATTCCCTTAGGCAATTCCAGAAACTGTGTTGTTAACAAATAATTAACTATGTCATCTGCTTTTGATATATCGAAAGAATATTTCGTATGATGATCTTTCTTTTTAAACTATTGATCGATGGTGCTATCTTTCTGAATTAATGATTCACAGATCATAGATTCTTGTCCTATAATCTCTGCTGCATCAATTTCAAAATTAGGATCCATATAATAGGTCCTGTAAGATGCATTACTTCGATTCTGTTCTTCTTCAAGGAGAGTTTCATATCTAGCAACTTTATAACTTAGTTCTACTAGGTCTCGGACCTCTGTTGAGTCAAACTTCTTTCGAAGCCTGAACTTTAGCCAATTTTGGGCCAACCTTACAAATTCAGGTTCAGGTAGTACAACCCTACATTTGTTTCATGCCCTTTTGAATTTGGCAATGAATTGAGCAGCCTTCTCATTAGGCCTTTGGCTCAACCTTGCCAAGTCTTCCATGGACACTTCAGGCTCTGTTTGGAAAAACTGGGTATGAAATACCTCTTCCATTTGTTGCCAAGTCTAGATAGAACTAGGTGTAAGGTTTATATACCATACGAAAGTTGTCCCAGTTAGAGAGTTCAAAAAAAGTCTTAACTTCATGTAATCATTGTTGGTGAATTCACCACATTGGCCTGTAAACCTGGAAATGTGCTCAATAGTTGGCTGGTTTCCATTTCCATACAAGAGGGCAAAGTCTGGTATCCTAAATCCCCTTGGGTATTCATGTAACCTATTTACCCATTCTGGGTAAGGGTTTCTGTAAACAGGAGTCTGGACCCTCCAGGCCATGGATCCACAAATCTCCCTAACAATGTCAGCAATTTGGTCTCTAGGTACCAAATTTGTTGCTGGTTGGGCCACTATGGGAAGAACAAATGCAGGGTTTGAAGGAACTCCATGTGTTTGAGGCCCTTTTGGCCTATGCAAAGGCGCATTGGGAACTAGTTGTCCCTATTGTACTGGTTGATATTGAGGGTATGGCTGCCTCTTGGGGCAGGCATTTGTCTTATGAAAGGTGCTGTGAAGGGAACTACGGGAGGAGGAACAAGTGTTGTTTCTTTTCCAATCGCAAAAAATCTTTCTAACCCCCCGGGTGTGAATTCGAACACAAGATTAGTGAACAACCATGTGCCAGGCATGGGTTCAAAAATAGGATTTGAAAACACTTGCTTGCCATTTCCTTGTGTCAGCCCAGACCCACTAATTTGTATGGTTTCGCTGGTAGACAACGGTGTATTTTGACTTGCCAGTGGTCTAGAAGGAGCTTCGTACCATGATTGAGGCACAGGTGATGGCCTCTCATGATTTTGGTTATTAGTTTGACCACTAGTCTGATCATTAGTTTGTCCATTATTTTGCATAGGCTGCTTATCTCAAGTCAATCTATGTTGAAGAAAATTTCAGTCAGCCTTATAATAGGTGGTTGATGAGAGTACATTCAATCCAAAAAGGATGTTGCCCATCTTACCATTGTACACATAAATTGTTGTCTCATAGCATTGACTAACTATCCCCATGGATTCATTGGTTGGATAGAGGGAGCAGTTGATGGTCCAGTTTCATGGCCCTGTCCATGTGTTTTATATCCTGAAGTGCTGGTTTGTTTAATCATTTGTGAAGGATCTGCTGAGACAGGCACATCCATAGGATGTGATATTGCATTATCCTCTGGGTTAAGTTCGTCTACCTCTCATTCTACACCTTCTCCCAGGCTTTCATTTTCTCCTTGTCTCCTACCTCTAGCCATTATTCGAGTCCCACTAGGCGTGCCAAAAATATATGTTAGCTTTTTTGGCTTTCGAAGGTTAGAAATATAATTCGAGCGTACTAGTAGGGATCAATAAGTCTTTACAGAAGTCAATAAATACCAGCCAATTAGTCAGACGATTGCTTCGAAGTTCTCTCAGCCTCAATGAAGAAGACTTTACTGGTGGCTTAACTTTTTAGGAGAAATTTAAGAAGACTTAATCAAAGTAATGGAAGAAGCAAAATAGTTACAGAGATCAAACTTCATTAAATAAACAAGAGCTTACAATAGTACCTTCATACTTTCACAGCTTCGAAGAGGATTACAGCAACAGACTAACTTAGAATTAATCGTAGGAATTTGAAGTGTAGTATAGGAATGTAAAGACTAGAATTTAAATAACTGAAAATATAAAGTAAACAAACTGGTTTCTAGATCTAGTTCTGGGTCCTTGCATCATCAATATTCTCCTCTATTTATAGGCTCTGAAGATTACCATCGAAGTGGCTGATAACTACCGAAATGATCTCCATGATCATTGAGTGTGGTTCTAAACAGTTTGCTTCCACTATTCCACTCTCGTGGTTGGGTTTCCCTCCTAATTTTGAATTTAAACCATAAGCAACCGTTTTGGCCACGTCACCTTGGGCATCTTAACTGTTCGCATGTCTCGCGGATCCATTGCCTTTGTTATAAATTGGCACGCGTCTGTTGATGATTAGAGACTTTCACTGATTCCCCAATTTAACCTTTATGATCCACGTGTTAGGCTACCATAAGACTGTACAAAATATATAGCTAACAAATATAATCATTCTTTTTATTCTCACAAAATTACCAAACAAAGTATACTTGCGTACTTGTGCTTGTTTCACATCATCCATCTCTTTCTTTTTGCAGTGTATATTGAAAGAAGCAGAAGAGAAGAAAAGCCCATAGTTCACAAAAATGAAGGGTGATATAAATGAGAAGCTATTGTGGAATGCTGAAGAAGAAGAGAGGGTACGTAATGGTGGTCGAGATGAAACATTGAAGGAGAAGATATGGAGAGAGACAAAGAAAATGTGGGTGGTGGCTGCTCCAGCAATATTCACCAGATTTTCAACCTTTGGTATTAATGTAATTAGCCAGGCATTTGTTGGGCACGTTGGTCCTACTGAGCTTGCTGGCTATGCTCTTGTGTATACAGTCCTCTTCAGGTTTGCCAATGGCATCTTGGTATGTTCTATTCTATAAACCCATATATATATACACATGTATATAGCCTATCTCTACAATTTAATTTGTTTTCTTTAGATCCCATAAATAGTAATTTCAAGAACAAATTAAGTTGTTGAAATGACTGTTTTATAAACACATAGTAATTTTCTTTTGGGCAAATTACATATACACCCCTCCAGGTTTGACAAAATTACAGATACCCCCTGAGGTTTGAGAAATTACGAATTCCCCCCTGAATGCTATATTTGCATAAGAAATTAGGGGGTAATTTGTTATGAAATATAAACCTCAGGGGGTAAATTGTTATGAAACTACAAACCTCGGGGGGCGAGATGTAATTTCCGAAACCTCAGGGGATATCTGTAATTTAACCAAACCTGGAGGGGTGTATATGTAATTTGCCCTTTTCTTTTTTATATATAGAATGGGATAGTAAGACAAAAAAATCTGTATCACATATGGTGAAAACTCTCTGTGCAATTAGATATATGAAATAGATTCTCTAATTCTATCTGTTTTTTTATTTTATTTTATTCATATGTACAAATATATTTATATGATCATGCTAACAAGTGTATCAGGTAGGACTCTTAATAATGAGTAATCAATAATGCTTTATTTTAAATAAGGATAATGCTATATGAATCAATTAGTATACTAATTAGTGTATCAATTGATGATGTGATATAATTTAAGAGATTTTTGAGATTTGTAATGTGATTAATGAGTGGAGTCAATAATAATGTTATAAGTAGTGTTGATATACTAGTTAGTACATTAATTGGTGCATGTAGCCCACCGTTTAAATAATAGGTTAAAAATAAAAAAAAAAACTATTAAATGCATTTAATTTAATTAATAGTTTAAAAATAGAAAGTTGTTAAATTGAAGACAATTTAATATAACATTAAATACATATTAATAAGTTGAAATTAAAAAACGGTGGTGCTACGTATATCAATTAGTATACTATCAGTTGATGATGTGACATAATTTAAGAAGTTTTTAGTATTTGTAATGTAATTAATGAGTAATTTCATAACTAGTTTTGGTATACTAATTAGTACACTAATTGGTACATATAACATTATTCATTAAAAAATTACTAAACTCAAGATAAATTAATGCACCATTAAATGCACCTTATCGTGGGGAATTTGTTAGCAGCAATCTTATTTATATTATGAATAATGTTTCATCTACTAATTAATGTACTAACTAATATATTAATAGATGATGTGTCATACTTTTAGAAGTTTTAGTTATTTGTAATTTGTATAATAGGTAGGGTCAATAATAATAATATAACACTAATTGGTACACTAGTGTGTATGTTAATTGGTACATGTAGAACTATCATTATATTATTTTGGTAGCAACAATAATGACGTAGGTTCAAGATAATTCCTATATATTTAAAATAATATGTACTAATTAGTGTATTAACTAATGTACCAATTGATGATGTGACCTAATTTAAGAGGTTTTTGGTATTTGTAATTTGTATAATGAATGGGGTCATTAATAATGTCATAACTAGTGTTACTACATTAGTTAGTACACTAATTGGTGCATGTAGCACCACCGATATATTTATACGGTGGTGCAACATGCACTAATTAATATACACACTAGTGTCCCAATTAATATTATACCATTATTACTAACCTCACATATTATAGAAATTACAAATAATCAAAACCTTTAAAATTATGTCATATCATCTGTTATATTAATTAGTATATTAATTGGTTCATATAACATTATTCATATTTATATTAGCAAAGTGTTTCACCATTTATTATCTTTAGAGCTTCAACATATAATTCTCATAACATTGGATGTTTGCTTTATATATCAAAATGAAACACTTTCTAAACATGACAATTAGATTCCCTCATTAAAATATTGGAAACCAAATTGAAACACCAATATTGATACAATTCAACTATTAGGAACCAAAATAATAGAAGACTCATTCTTTGGGGATCAAAAATGTAATTAATCCTAATAATTATCATTTTGGCAAGGAATTAGAGCTAAACAACCGAAAAAGTTTTTTGAAAAGTAATCGGAAAAAAAAAGTAGATGGATCAGATTCACTATGAGTGTGACTCACATCACATGAATAGATACTTAAAAAGTTGGTATGTTAAAATAAATAAATAAATAAATAAATAAGAGCAAAAAAGGTGGTCATTAACACTGTTGCTGAAACTGAAATCCATGAGAGAAAAATGACTGAAGTTGAGGACTATATATATCTAGTGATTATATATGAAATAGATTCTCTAATTCTATCTGTTTTTTTATTTTATTTTATTCATATGTACATATATATTTATATGATCATGCTAACAAGTGTATCAGGTAGGACTCTTAATAATGAGTAATCAATAATGCGTTATTTAACAAGTATTGGAACTTTGTTCAGTTTTAAATAAGAATAATGCTATATGAATCAATTAGTGCAATAATTAGTGCATCAATTGATGATGTGATATAATTTAAGAGGTTTTTGGGATTTGTAATGTGATTAATGAGTGGAATCAATAATAATGTTATAAGTAGTGTTGATACACTAGTTAGTATATTAATTGGTGCATGTAGCCCACCGTTTAAATAATAGGTTAAAAATAAAAAAAAACTATTAAATGCATTTAATTTAATTAATAGTTTAAAAATAGAAAGTTGTTAAATTGAAGACAATTTAATATAACATTAAATACACATTAATAAGTTAAAATTAAAAAACGGTGGTGCTTCGTATATTAATTAGTATACTAACTAGTGTATCAATTGATAATGTGGCATAATTTAAGAAGTTTTTAATATTTGTAATGTAATTAATGAGTGGGGTGAATAATAATTTCATAACTAGTGTTGGTACACTAATTAGTACACTAATTGGTACATATAACATTATGAAGAATGCTACGTACCTCGAAATATTAAAGGCGCGAATGGCTCGAAATCTCAAAACGACGTCGTTTTAAGGGTTTTTTTTATTCTCTTACCGGTAAGATAATATTTTCCGTACTATTCGCGCCATTCGCGCTCCACACATTCGAGGCCTCAATCTTTTACCTAACATTATTCATTAAAAAATTACTAAACTCAAGATAAATTAATGCACCATTAAATGCACCTTATCATGGGGCATTTGTTAGCAGCAATCATATTTATATTATGAATAATGTTTCATCTATTAATTAATATACTAACTAATATATTAACAGATGATGTGTCATAATTTTAGAAGTTTTAGTTATTTGTAATTTGTATAATAGGTGAGATCAATAATAATAATATAACATTAGTTGGTACACTAGTGTGTACGTTAATTGGTACATGTAGAACTATCATTATATTATTTTGGTAGCAACAATAATGACGTAGGTTCAAGATAATTTCTATATATTTAAAATAATATGTACTAATTAGTGTACTAACTAATGTACCAATTGATGATGTGACCTAATTTAAGAGGTTTTTAGCATTTGTAATTTGTATAATGAATGGAATCATTAATAATGTCATAACTAGTGTTAGTACATTAGTTAGTACACTAGCATATAACACCGTCGATATATTTATACGGTGGTACTACATGCACTAATTAATGTATACACTAGTGTACCAATTAATATTATACCATTATTACTGACTTCACATATTATACAAATTACAAATAGTCAAAATCTTTAAAATTATGTCATATCATTTGTTATATTAATTAGTGTATTAATTGGTTCATATAACATTATTCATATTTATATTAGCAAAGTGTTTCACCATTTATTATCTTTAGAGCTTCAAGATATAATTCTCATAACATTGGATGTTTGCTTTATATATCAAAATGAAACACTTTTTAAACATGACAATTAGATTGACCTCAGTAAAATATTGGAAACCAAATTGAAACACCAATATTGATACAATTCAACTATTAGGAACCAAAATAATAGAAGACTCATTCTTTGGGGATCAAAAATGTAATTAATCCTAATAATTATCATTTTGGCAAGGAATTAGAGCTAAACAACCGAAAAAGTTTTTTGAAAAGTAATCGGAAAAAAAAAGTAGATGGATCAGATTCACTATGAGTGTGACTCACATCACATGAATAGATACTTAAAAAGTTGGTATGTTAAAATAAATAAATAAATAAATAAATAAGAGCAAAAAAGGTGGTCATTAACACTGTTGCTGAAACTGAAATCCATGAGAGAAAAATGACTGAAGTTGAGGACTATATATATCTAGTGATTATCATGATGAACTTGCACTTTTATGCTGCTACAATGGCTGCAATAATGTTTTTTTTCACCCAGATGAAATTGTAATGTAAGACCTAAACCTTGTGGTTTCTGAACAAATTTAGATTTGAAGAATCCTTTGGTGGTAAAGTTTGATTTCCAAGAGGTCTATTTATTATATACCTGAGAATAAGATCTAAAGTTCCGAGTTCTAGATTCCCAACAGGCCAGTAGATATTTGTCCGGTCATTAATTTTAGGGCTTTCAGGGATTAGTTTTCAATTGTCTAGATACGAGGGATTAGTTCTTGATTGTCTAGATACAAGGTAACTCAAGTACAATTAGGCTGGGAAGGAGATACCACGGATCATCAACCGAAAAAAAAAAAAAAGAAGAAGAAAAAACCTAAAGCTCTTATGAGGATTGATTTCATTTTGAACTCATGGTTAATTTGCAAGTAGAGCTGACTTTTGGGCATTTGATTTCATTACATTTGACAGTTATTAGCTGACTTATTAGCCATCTTTGGGTTAAATAGATGATGGTATAAAGATCTCAACATGTATGCAACAAATTCATCAAAAAGGATCAAAAGAGAAAAAAAAGAGCTACACAAATTCTGGACTTTATAATTTCAAAATTTTGGTTGCTTATCCAAAAATTAGAACAAAAAAAAAAAAGAGAGGAAATTTCACAAATTTGGTTCATTGAATTCTTGATTGTGTAGTTGGGAATGGCGAGTGCGTTAGAGACTCTATGCGGTCAAGCATACGGTGCAAAACAATACCACATGCTCGGTGTATATCTTCAAAGATCATGGATTGTATTGTTCATTTGTTCAATTTGTCTTCTCCCCATATTCATCTTCGCAACTCCGATTTTGAAAGCATTGGGCCAGGAGGATTCCATTGCAGAAATGGCGGGAACAATCGCTCGATGGTCAATCCCAGTGGTGTTCTCCTTCATCCCATCATTCACATGCCAAATGTTCCTACAAGCACAGAGCAAGAACATGATCATTGCATACTTGGCAGCATTTTCGCTTTCTATCCACGTGCTCCTCTCATGGCTCTTGACAGTGAAGTGTAAGTATGGAATTCCCGGGGCAATGATATCTACAATTCTGGCGTTTTGGATTCCAAATATTGGTCAGCTCGCGTTTGTTATATGTGGAGGGTGTCCAGAAACATGGAAAGGTTTTTCATTCTTGGCTTTCAAAGATCTATGGCCAATCATCAAGCTTTCTTTGTCATCTGGTGCCATGCTCTGGTAATTCTTATTTCATCTATTGCAAGTTATTAGGAAAAGCAAGGAAATGGTACTAATTGTCTCTAAAGAATGCAATATGTTACTTTTTAATTTTGTCATTTTGATCCCAAAATTTATGATCTGTTACATTTTAGTGGTTGGTATCAGCGCCATTCAAAATCAATAACTGGGGGGGGGGTATTTTTGAATTTTTACAAAAAACAACAAAATAAAAAGATTTGGAGATCAGAATCTAACAAAGGACTGACATGGAACAAAATGCATTATTTGTGGACCAAAATGCGTATTTTTGGGGCTATTTGTATTTGGCCTTTTTGATTTTGTTGAGGCTTTATGTAAAATTATGAAAACACCCCTTCTACCGTTATTGATTTTGAATGACATCAGAGACTAAAGTGTGACAATTTTCATACTTGTTAGACCAAAGTGGAAAAGTTAAAAGGTTGTGAACTAAAGTGTAAGGTGAAGTGCGATGGTTTTTCTAGCCCAAAGTAAGGTCTTTAGTAATGCCTTTGGGTGTAGTTGTCTTTTAGTTTCTATACGTGTCGTAAATTTTGGGAACCATTGTGTCATTAACCTGAGTTACTTCTATCAAAAAATTTGGCTACAATATGAGAAACACGAAGAACCAGCTCACAAATTGCTATAAATCTGTTTTGTAGGTGAAATTATTGATATTTATTGCTTCCATTTTGATTAATTGATTTAAACATATGATTTCAATGACAGCCTTGAACTCTGGTACAATACCATACTGGTTCTCTTAACAGGAAACATGGTGAATGCTGAGGTTGCCATAGATGCTCTCTCTATTTGGTAATAACTCCATTCTTCTGCAAATTCTCTGTCCTTTCCCTCTTCACTTTAAATCTGCCTTTCATATCATCTCGGCCATTTGATCACTTAATATTTTGCCTTTTAATTTGCAGCCTCAATATTAATGGCTGGGAAATGATGATATCTCTTGGTTTCTTGGCTGCAGCAAGGTATATAAATTACTTCTGGTTTTGTTGATTTCATTATTGTCATTTCTTGGATGATCATGTTTATGTTTTTACTCTTATTCTTGGGTTGCATTTGTTTTTGGAAACTTGTTTAGCGTACGGGTCTCAAATGAACTGGGAGGAGGGAACTCAAAAGCTGCAAAGTTCTCGATTTTGAATATAGTGCTAACCTCATTCACCATCGGATTTGTGTTATTCATCTTCTTCCTCTTCTTTCGAGGGCGCCTTGCGTACATATTTACGGAAAGACATGGCGAATGCTGAGGTTGCCATAGATGCTCTCTCTATTTGGTAATAACTCCATTCTTCTGCAAATTCTCTGTCCTTTCCCTCTTCACTTTAAATCCGCCTTGCATATCATCTCAGCCATTTGATCACTTAATATTTTGCCTATTAATTTGCAGCCTCAATATTGATGGCTGGGAAATGATGATATCTTTTGGTTTCTTGGCTGCAGCAAGGTATATAAATGGCTTCTGGTTTTGATGATTTCATTGTTGTCATTTCTTGGATGATCATGTTTAGGTACTAGGATGTTTTTACTCTTATTCTTGGGTTGCATTTGTTTTTGGAAACTTGCTTAGCGTACGGGTCTCGAATGAACTGGGAGGAGGGAGCTCAAAAGGTGCAAAGTTCTCGATTTTGAATATAGTGCTAACCTCATTCACCGTTGGATTGGTGTTATTCATCTTCTTCCTCTCTTTTCGGGGGCGCCTTGCATACATATTTACAGAAAGTTCTGAGGTGGCTGCTGCAGTAGCAGATTTATCGCCTCTATTGGCCTGCTCCATACTTCTCAACAGCATTCAACCAGTTCTTTCCGGTTATTAAGCTTAATTCTCCTCATATGATTCTTTCTTCCAGTAAATTACTAGGTGTTAGTGTTTATTTACTTATTAACAATAATTTCTCTACACTTTCACTTTCAGATTTTGGTGAGAATCCAATTTCACTTTTCCTCCAAACACACCTAGGCTCAAGCTTTTTGCTTGGTTCCCACATAGGAATCTTGAGCATATTTTTGTTGATCTAGAAGAGCCTTCCTTTCACAAGAATATCCATGACTTGAAATTTCAAGGTTTTCTCTAACCGTTTAATGGTTAATTTTTTAGTTTAAATTCATTCGTTACGTGTATAAGAAGGGTTTTGAGATTGTCTATTCGAACCCTTTTTTTGTATAAGGGTTGTGAACTTTTTCCCAAGACAAGCCATAGACACACAACGGTTTTTTGTCTTTGCTTTTTCTTTTCTTTATTTTTCATTTTTGGAGTTAAGGTTGTATTCCTTAAACGTCTTTAAATGTCTTAATACTAGGCATTGTATCTTGGAGATAGCGTCGTAGACGTGTCTTGCCAAATGCTTCAATTCTGTTTTTGTTTTACATATTTCAGAATCTGATATCACAACATTGTTATACAACAATTTATAGAATGCAATGATTGGATTTGGTGAAATTAGTTTCAATTGCTAATCCTATATGTGCAGGTGTTGCTGTTGGAGCAGGGTGGCAGAGTATTGTAGCATATGTTAACATTACATGCTATTACCTTGTTGGGATTCCTGTGGGAGTGGTTCTTGGTTATGTACTCAATATGCAAGTCAAAGTGAGTTATTTTATTTTTATTCCTCATTTTCTAGTGAGTTTTTGTAGATTTTTTAATGTGGTAGAGTAATGAAAGTTTTGCCCATAAAAAAGAGTAACCAAAGTTTGACAACAAAAATAAATATATAAATAAGAGAGAAGAGAGAAAATTAGACTCGTCTAACCTTGATAGCAACTCAAATATTAAAGAATTTGAAAACTGGACACTCAAAACACATAGATCTAAAATTTATGCATAAGTTCTATAAGTAGTTTTTGTAATTTTAACAACTCGAAAAAGGAAAAATGAAAAAATTGGTCTTATATTCCAATTTTGTTGAAAATGTAAGCGTAGCAATCGTAACTACTGTAACTATGCTGTGATGGTGATGGCTATTATTAAGGTTGTGAATTTTTGTCATACAACCATAGTGGCTGTAATGAGTGAATGATCACATAAACAATTACATATTGATTGTTGTCAATTTTTGGAACCTAGGGTAGGGACGTAAGAAAAATCAATAAAATCGAGCCGACCGATCAAAACCAACAGAAATTTTAGTTTTCGGTCTGTTTTTAATAACATACGGTCTATTTCGGTTTTGAAACTTTTTAAACCGATACAAACCGAATCGATAGAATATTATATTCAAATATTTTTATATTATAATTTCTTGAACATTATATGTGAAGTAACTAATATAACATACTTTTGTGATAAAAATGAGGAAGAAAAACATTTATAGAGCAATTTTCATATATTTTCTTCATTTATTTTCAATGTAAAATTCTATAATCTACTATAAAACCTTTTAAAATTTTATGTAAATTTCTCTTTTACATCAAACCGACAAAACCGATAAAACTGAACCCTAGCATACAGTCTGTATCGGTTTCTCAATCATAAAAATCAAAAGAATCGATTCGGTGTTAAATATACCCTCAACACCGATCAAACTGAACCGTTTACACCCCTAACCTAGGGTTTCAATACATGAATTGGAATCACTATATATGCAATTGGAGCCTTAATTAATTCAAACCTTTCTTTATACCAATTAACAAAATACTTGTATTATTTGCCTCCTTGATCTGTTTCCCATCAGTAGACATGACTACTCCTTTCCAAACCTTCTAACAAATCTATCAATCTATTATATGAAGCCAACTCTTGAGTTGGTGTGGATGTCACAGATTTTGTTTTTCCAAAATACTCTTCATCATGTAACTGCTATCTAACTACTTCAACTAATTGTCATTATCAAATTCAACTGTTTTAGATCTAACTTTTCTAGATAACTGTCAACACACATGTCGTGTGTGTGCCCACTTTTAGTATAATCATCGATTAACAATTAATTTTTGGAAATTTGTTTTGTAGGGTGTTTGGATTGGTATGCTACTTGGCACATTTGTTCAAACTATTGTTCTCAGCATAATCACTTACAGAACTGATTGGGATAAACAGGTAATTAATATTGGTGTGTTTTCAATTTCATGTGCTTAACTTACAATTTTCTTTCTTAGTTAATTTCATAATTAACTCGGGCAACCCCATGGCTGAGCTTTTCATTACGCGTTGTGAAAACCCCTTTTTCTAAATTTACCAGAAAAGGATTGAGTTCTCATTTATATTGATGTTTGCAGGTATCCATTGCTAAAAAACGGATTAACAAGTGGTTTGTGGAACCTGATCAACCCGGTGCTAATCCACAAAATTTGTGAGATTTTTTTGTTTGTTTGTTTGTTTGTTTGTTTGTGTGTGTGTATTAAACCCAATGTGTTCTTTTTGTTTTGGAGGACATTTTCTACTTAGTTTGTCAATTTTAAATTAAATAATTCTTGTTTTTATTGTCAAATCTATATGTGAAAAAGGCTCTTATTCGCCTTAGAATCTTTCATTAATTGTACCTTCTCTTTTTGCCTTCCATTTTTCGCTGCATTTGAAAAAATATTAGGATCTTTAGCAGAAAAATATATAATGGATATGTACAATCATATGATAGCTCAGTTGGTAAATTACAGGACTAAAAAAAGAAACAAAAATGCTCTGTAGCCCGAAAAACTGAGGCTCGAACGGTATGAAAAATATTATCTTACCGGTAAGAGAATAAAAAAAAGTCATAAAACGACGTCGTTTTGGGGTTTCGAGCCATTCGAGCCTTTGATTTTTCGAGCTCCCCTGTTATGATTTGAAAAAATAATAATATTGATCGGTCGCACACATTTTTATATTTCACGAAATACAAATGAATTGATAAAGAGTATATTCAATAATAAAGCAATGTAGTTTGAAATTTCCTTATTTATGGTGCTAGTGAAATTATTTTGTTAAAATGCGACTTTATGGGGATAGAGTACTTGAACTCTCATGGTTTTAGAAGTCAGCACTGCTATATCCATTGAATTTGTTTAGTGCGAATTCGTCTGTATGAGTCTCTTTTTGGGAAGAGGCTCGCACACTGAGGTCGTTTCTCAAGAAGAAACTCATTTAGATAAATTCGAATTAAACAATTTCGGTAGACCAATAATTAATTTATAGAGAAATTAAGTAGTTTTTTTTTTCTGGTAATTGCAATTCCATATGATTTTTGGTATTGGCGTGTAGAGAAGCCAATTATCAATTACACGGTGCATTGATAAAACAATAATCACAAACCAAGTTATTAAATTTAAGAAAAAAAAAAAGAAAAAGAAAAAGAAAAAGAAAAAAAAAAAAAGAGTATTAATTAGTATTGACGATCACCTTCTTATTGCAACTTGTCATTTCAAGCCATGTCAGCATCTACTTCCACCCAAGGGGTAAGCCTGGATGAGGCTCAAAGTGGAGACTTTTATTCAAATAATATTTATTATTTTTTAAAATTATAATTCATTATGTAAAATTTATCTTTTCCTTGATAAAATGAAAAAGTCACAAAATGTATATTGTAATAAGCTATCTAATAAATAAATTTACAGATTAAAAAAAATGAAGACTGCTATAAAAGTAAATAAATAAACACTGAACTTGTAGAATATTTAAGCAGTGAAAAATAGAACCTATTCCAAATTAGTAGTCTTTTTCAAAGTGAGTCTTGATCCTAATCCAGAATGGATCTATTGAGAATAATAGAGTGGATAATTTGAAAGCCCATTTAAAATACATAAAATGTGTACTACGTTCGTACGAAAAGCCTTTTTCCTTTTTAATTGTGGAACTCTTTTCCAAAGTGAACCTTTTGAAGAAAAAGATAAATTTATTTATAATATTATAATATAAAAAGAAAAATGCTTGGGAGCACTAATTAGTGCTCTCACTAATTAGGTGGCAGTGAGTCCCGCCATTAATGATGTGATGTTTTGGTCTTGGAGTTGTATTTTTTATTTATTTTTTTTACTTTTTTAATGCATTAATACTATTAATAGTGATATTTTTAGTGGGATGAATCATTATCCCTCTTTTTTTTCTACCTCATTTTCTTGAACCTACCTGTTGACAGAGGCTAAGAGGTGAAACAGAGTAGCAGGTGCAAGCATAGACTGCAACGTGAGGCGGCAAGTACATCCATTTGGGTCCTCTACTTCATCTTCTTCGCTAAATTTTGCATATTCTGTTTTGGGTTTTCTTCAAAAGCAAAGATCAAAAATGGGTTTTTGGTTTGTGCTTCCAAGGGCTCGAACAGTTGGCCTCTAATCGGTGTATTGTTCGAACCATTTGAAGAGGTGAAAGAGCTCACACTCGGCCCTACTCTCCCCCACTCTTCCATTGCTCGCCAGAAATATTCCGATGAATGCGAAGATCGAAAATGGGTTTCTAGGTTTTTGGTTTACTCTCTTGTTTTTTTGTTTAAGTTTTTTTTTTTTTAAGTTTTTTTTTTTTTTTTTTATAATTTCGATTGATATTCATCAAAAATACTCCAAAAAAAGAAAATAAACCCAATCTGGGACAAACCCTCTGTTGTTATTTGGTTTGAAATCTGGGTTTGTATTTTTTATTGAAAATAATTGTTTCATTTTGTTTTGTTTTTTTATTTTTTGTGCTTGTGTGTTTTGCTGAAACAAATTGCATTCTTCTTCCCTCAAAACAAAGTTGCAATCTGAATTGATGGCCTTAATGGTAAGAATCAGCCACAGAATGTGAATTTTTTTGAGCATTGACTAGTTTCTTTAAACTAGTTGTAAAGATGATTGGTGATTCACTTTCACTTCTTCTTCTTCTTCTTAGTCTGTTTCGTATTTGGGCTTCATTCTTGGTTCAGATGAGAGCTCACAAACCTTTGAGAGGTCAGGGGAAAACAAAAAAAAAAAACAAAAATAATCCTATATATATACATATGTATACATATATGTGTGTATATGTATAGATGATTGGGTTTGAAGGGTGGGTTTGTTTTGTTCTGTGAGAAAACTGAAAGGAAAGGAGCTCAAGCTTTTACACTTCGTCAAAATGAGTTCAGCCTTTCCAAATGAGAGAAGAAAAAAAAAAAATTTCTCCAAAACGACGTCGTTTTGGAGCATGGCAGGAAAGCGCCGTAGGAAAACACGGCAGATGATCCGGACTCCTGGAGCCCATGCGTTAGTGGCTTTATGCATGGGTTGGCCATCTTCCATCACATCCCTCTTTTTTCCACAATCACAACCATACTATCTCTAGAAATGGCAATTTAAACCTGACCTGACGGGGACCAGACCCCTTGATCCCGATTAAAACAGTTTTTCCTTAAAAAATACCTTTGACAGGTCGGTGATGGTATTCGAAAATGAATTCCCGACAAATTTCGAGTCGGGAACAGTGATACGTGCCGGTGATGGTATATGAAAATGAATTCGCCACAATTTTCGAACCGAGGACGGTAATATGTTCCCCAGCCCGGCCCGGCCTCGTCCTCGTCCCCGTCTCATTTTCCTGAATTGAAATTACTATAATACCCCCATCTCTCTGTCCCTCTCTCTATGTATATATAAATCAAACCCTCACACAAGCCTTAGACAGTCTCATCTCTCTTTTGGTTTCTCAGTTTCTCTCTGTCTCTCTCCTCATCCCCTTTATCTCTCTTCTCGCCGACTACCACTCCCCCAATCGCCTAATCACCATGACTACCACCTTCGCAGCCGCAATCTCCTCTTTGCTTCCGCGACCTCATCTTCTCTGCTTTGAATCGAACACGCACAACTGCCCTACCTCATCTTCATTGAATCCAATGATCTCTCTCACCACCAACTGAACCTGCATTGCCAGAGCTGTTTAGTTGCAAGATCCAGATCCAAATCCACCACCACCACCACTTTCAGCTGTGAGATTTGAAATTTTGAATATCTGATCTAAAGTTTGAGTATCTACAGTAAAGATAATATTATACACCGAAGGTATGATCAAATTCAGTTGACACAAGCATTTAGCAGTATCTTTATTCTACAAACAGAAGCAAAGCTACCCTAAAACCTATTCTTTTCAAATCTTAGCTAGTGTTTTGCAGCATCAGAAGTTAAGAACTGCTAAATTAATCTTATGCTTTGAGAAACTGTTTCAAGCAATCTCTCTAAAGGCAGCATCTGGCAGGGAAAAACAAAACAACCTTGAACCTTTGTACTTCCAAAATCCAAAATCATTTTCATTTGTTGATATACCAAAGTCAACACCAATACCCTTTGAAATACCAATTTCATTTAAATTCACTACCCCCAAACAACTCAAATTTTTTTTTTTTGGTTAAGGTCTGCTCAATTTTTTTGTCGTTAGGGTTTTCTTAGATATGATATATATATATATATATATATATATATATATGTGTGTGTGTGTGTGTGTGTGTGTATCGACCACTTGATTGGAAAGATGGGAGCGTCAGGGAGCTACAATCCATATTTGCAGGAAGATGACTACAACATGACAAGTTGATACTATAATGCAAACTACTGTGGTTAACGTTACTGGTCTACATATTTTCGTTATTTATTGATGAAACATATTGAATTTATTTGTTGTTCTTGTGTTGAACAAAATTCAAAAAAAAAAAAAAACGATCAAGGGTTTTTTAGGATTAGGGAAACCCGATCCCGGTTAGGGGGCGGGGACGGGGAGTGTAATCCCCGGCCTCGGCTTGTTGCCATTCCTAACTACCTCCACCACCTTCAATCATTTCCACTTCTCTCTCTCTCTCTCTCCACCACTCACTATAAAAAATTAAGATTTTTGAAATCAAAATTTAGGGAATAAAATTATTTTTAAGAACTAAATATTTTTATTACAAAAAAATGTCGATATTATACTTTTAGCAATGAAAATTGGACATTAGTAACGAATTATTATCATTTTTGAAGCAAATTATTTTGTCTCTAAAAGTGTATTTATTTGTGATATTTTGAAAATTTGTAGTTAAAAGCATTGTTTTTGACTTTTCGAGATAATCTTTTAACGATTATTCTCAAGACGATAGTAATTGGTCCCTAATGTTGTATTTGGTTGGGAAATTTGAAAAGAAAAATGAAAAAGATAAGTGAAATGTTAGTAAAATGTACTTATATTTCACTTAGTATCATACACATTTTCATTTTCCTTCTTCAAATCCTCTAACCAAACAAAGTGTAAATGTCTTTTGCAACAAATTTTTTACTTTTAAAGATCAAAAAATTTAATCTGTAAAACTCTTATATATTGTAGTAATCTTACCGTTACCTCCTATATTCTTTTTGGGAAAATTATAGTGACTTCCCAAAGTTTAAAATGAAATACAAGAAGATTCAAAATTTGGCATAATTACATTTAATTTTTTTTTTTTTTTTTGCTGTATTTGAAACATGAATTTCATAGGATTTTGGAAAAAGTAAAAAAAAAAATGAGGAAAAATTTAATCTATATATCATTTATATTTGCCTCACTTTTTCTATTTTCCTTTCTAAATCATTAATCAATATTATGATCCAAA